TCTTGTACATAAACTGTACCTTATTGTACTACTTGTTATCTTGTACATAAACTGTACCTTATTGTACTGCTTGTTATCTTGTACATAAACTGTACCTTATTGTACTGTTTGTTTTCTTGTACATAAACTGTACCTTATTGTACTACTTGTTATCTTGTACATAAACTGTACCTTATTGTACTGCTTGTTATCTTGTACATAAACTGTACCTTATTGCACTGCTTGTTATCTTGTAAATATACTGTTCCTTATTGTACTGTTTGTTATCTTGTACATAAATTGTACCTTATTGTACTGCTTGTTGTCTTGTACATAAACTGTACCTTATTGTACTGCTTTTTATCTTGTACATAAATTGTACCTAATTGTACTGCTTGTTTTTTTGTACATAAACTATACCTTAATTTACTGCTTGTTATCTTGTACATGAAACTATACCTTTTTCTACTGCTTGTTATTTTGTACATAAACTATACCTAATTGTACTGCTTTTTATCTTGTACATAAACTATACCTTATTGTACTGCTTGTTATCTTGTATTTCTCTAAATAACGGAGTATTGGAACTATTTTCTTGAAAACTTGAAAACCCAGGAGATGGAAAAGAGTAGCCTAGATATAAAACATATTATAAAGAATTTTCAAAAGTTTGGAATCGTATGGTATCCTTTGATTAGACCCATCGATTCACAACAGTATTTTATTACCTGAATCTTTTTGCCTTGAAGGAGTTCTATTTCTTGTATAGCTATGAGGTACTATGGTATTGTATGCCCTAAAATCATACAATATATGCAAAGTAAGGTAAGGCCAATAGACAAATTGTACTTTACGTGGTGTCATGGGAATTAAGTGACAATTTCTTAATCCCCTTTGTTCCGCGTGGCATTATTACGTCTACACAATTTTTGTAGTTTTCCAGGTAAAACAGTTTAAGATTAAAACTATTCTGTTGTTACCATTTAAAAGTGGTATACAATAAAGGAAATCTAAAGCCCTAAAACTGATGTGAGTAAATCTACAGAGTATAGGAAAAAATGTATTTATAAGTAAAAAATGAACAAGTAAAAATGATGCTATTGAATCATGGAAAGCCGGAGTTCTCTGACGGACTCTCACTCTTTCATTCGCCACGGACAATGAGTTAATCTTCCGTCTTCAGGCTCTTCGTGAAAATTGAGTCTTCTTCGGCTTTAGTCCAGGCTGATCCTATGATCCTATTTTCTCATTCTAAGCCGTGGTTCAAGCCTATTGGCTTGAATTTAAACCAGGATCTGGTGCAACCATGGCTTCGGTTTTCCATGCCTTTAAACATGCATTCAAAGCATGTTTTCTGGGTTGGCATTTACTAAGGACAAATATTTCTCCACGTTGGTGACTTATCATCCACCCCACTTTCTGTCCGACCTATAGCTATATACAAAAGAGCTAAGACGTTGTCCTGTTTATAGGCCAGACTACTTGCAATCCGAGCTTAGCTCCGGGTCCGTATGAGGATTGAAGGGGTTACATATATGGAACTATACCAATCTGAGTTTACCTCCGGGTTTGTATTAGAACTGAGGGGGTTGCATCAATGGAACTATCCCTATTCCGAGCAATTTGGCTCACACCGGTTACACTATTCTTGTGATTTCCAAAATGTTGTTTTCATATTTGCACTTTTAAAGTTGACAGAGATATTCAGAAATCTGTAAAGATTCAAACTTATTAAATAGCAACAAAATCTTTCAAATGTTTAATATCTCCATCAATTTTGAAGGTACAAAGAAGGCAGATCAAATTTTAAAGGCATTCAGTTTTTGTTTTGACACATGCTTTGTCATTTCTCAACCTTCCCAATTCGATTTTTAAGTCGTCTCTTGATTCCCATGTTTATTAGGACACCCTATAGAATATGGAACAGACAAGGAACTCAGTTTCGGATGTATGTATGTATAATGGTTGTTTGTTGCTGTGTAAATGTATTCTTTTGTAATCATTAAATAGATATATAGACGTATATACTTATATTCAGCTGAATTTACTTTTCTTTTCTGAAATTTGGCATTTAACTATTTCCGTGGCATTTAATGTTTTCCTGAGTTTATGAATAATATTATTTTACGATCTGCAATGTTTTCTTTATTTAACGTTTTCCCGCGCTTTTTCGATTAATAATTTCTGAACGCGGCATTCAATGTTTTCTCTGCGCTAGTTACCTGACAGTAAAAGGAGTTGTTGATACGGTGAAGGTCGGGGCAGTTGGAGGAGTTATCCTGAAAAAGGAAAATTCAGTCTTTTTACAGAAACTCAAATCTTCTAATACTTATAATATTTTCAACTTGATGGTGTAAACCTTAGATTTTTCAAATTTGATTATTTGATCCAACAGAATGCGTTGCTTGAAATATAAAAGATCTACAACATTGGTTGGATTAGAAAACCAGAGTTAGTGGTCTCTTTCTCCAAATACAGTAAGAACCATAAAACTGTGGAATAGAAAAACGACTTTTAGACTCAAGCTAAAACTTTAAATAGTCCGATGAATAAGAGACACATCAATTGTGCAGCGTACACAGTACAGTACAGTACAGTACAGTACAGTACAGCGTACACAGATCGATTTCACGTTCTTGTTGACTTTAAAGCTTTTGGTGAAACTATTTGCTTTATAAAAACATTATAACAACATTATAACAACATTATAACAAAATTATGCCAACATTGAACAATATTATAACAACATTAAAACAACATTATAACATCATTATAACAGCATTATAACAACATTATAACAACATTATAACAGCAATAACAAAATTAAAACAACATAAAAACAACATTATAACAACATTAAAACAACATTAAAACAACATTAAAACAACATTAAAACAACATTATAACAACATTATAACAACAATAACAAAATTAAAACAACATTAAAACAACATTATACCAACATTAAAACAACATTAAAACAACATTATAACAACATTAAAACAACATTAAAACAACATTATATCAACATTAAATCAACATTATAACAAAATTATGACAACATTATAACAACATTATAACAACATTATAGCAACATTAAAACAACATTATAACAACATTATAACAACATTATAGCAACATTAAAACAACATTATAACAACATTATAACAACATTATAACAACAAAATTTCGTCTTACTATTCTACAGTTTTCTGCTTATCACTGTATAAAACGATATTTTTAACATTTTTCAAGAAAAAAAAAGAATTTGAAATTTTATTTCTTATTCTTTAATAACAATACCTAGGATACTTGTGATTAGGATGAAGAGAGTTTACTGAAGAACTAAAACAATTTATTAGATTAATTCAAGACACAAAGTTCGACTGTTGATAATAAATGAAGAGATAATCAGGGGCGTACTCAGGAGTCTGTCAAGGAGGACTATACATTTTTTTCCAGGGAACTTATCACATGTTGTGACCTGAACCCCCCCCAAATATTACCCAAGGTTGATGAAAGGTCTAGGTCCAGGTCTACGAACAGGACGGATCTCGTCCAACAACTCATTCTCATCTCTTATAGATTTTATTCAAAAAACATAATGATGAATATTTCAGAGGAATTACTAATAAAAAAGTATTAAACCGCCATTTTGCTCACTCCCAGGAATTACTTGTCAAAAATAATATCAAAATGATAGGTTTCTGGAAATATCTAATTAGTTAACCATATCCCAATTGACTATTTTTGTCAAATATAGATTGGGGGAGGGGGGTGTTTTCCACATGCAATTATGGTCCATTAAATTGAATAACGTAAAACATTCCGCACATTTTTACAACATATACAAATAACAATAGAGAANCTATTTTTGTCTAATATAGATTGGGGGAGGGGGGTGTTTTCCACATGCAATTATGGTCCATTTAATTGAATAACGTAACACATTCCGCACATTTTTACAACATATACAAATAACAATAGTTAGTTATAGTTAGATATCTAGCTTTAAAAAAAAGCTTATTTTTGACAATTTACCACGCAAGCCATCTTGTCTTTTTAAACCACAAATGAAAAAATATATTTTTAAAATAAAAAACATCATGATCTCGTTCATGATCGAATCGACAGAGCTGTTAATGCAATTGCAGAGAATTGGACATGTCACTCTGTAGTAGTAAGTATAGTAGNGTTTTCAGGAGATTCAGGGGTTGCAGGAGATTCAGGGGTTGCAGGGATATCATTTATGACAACAAATTCAGGAGACCCGAATCCTGATTCTCCACCATCTACTCCTGAAAAGTATTCATTTTTTATGATACAAAAAAGAATACAGCGTGACCCCAAAAAAACCGGATTAGAGTTTTTAAGTTTTAAAAAAAAAATTCCATTTCTGGTATATATTTATCTCCTTTGTTGATTTCTGAATTCATTAATAAATTTTGAAAGATATAATCAATCTTCTAGCATGGAAAGTGTTTAATTCTAATAATTTCTCTCCGTTACTTCTGCAGGAAAAATGTTACTTTTGTAGAGAAACCACAATTTAGAAACATGGATAACTCATGTATTCTTGAATCTTGATCAAACAGGGTATCGTTGGGAATTGGACATGTCCCTGTATTTACCGTTAAAGAAGTCTGATGTGATGAGGTTCCTGATAGGAACTGTCGGGGGCAGAGTAGTAATCTCATTCAATCTATTCCTAAATTAAATTAAATTTTAGAGTACAAATGATACGTACTTTTAAGGTATCTTAAGGTATTTAAGGAGGGTATCTCCATGCAAAAATGGCAATGCCCGATTTACAACGGTACCCTGACTCGAAAAGTATATATTTCTGTAAATTTCTCTATTGCTTCTGATACGCAATGTGCAAGTCACTTTCGCAGAGAAACCGCAATTGAAAATAAACAGTTTAAAAAATCAAAAATATGCATATCCAATTCGTGCTTGAACATTCGAGGCAAAGCTTTCAAAGGTACCGTTGTAAATCGGCCATCGTCATCTTTGCATAGAGGGTCACTTGAAATTGAACAGTCCCTTTAAGAATGCGACTAAGACTATCGCACCTCCTAATTTAAAATGAACTTTATTATAAATCCGAAATTGCGGTTTTCGAGTATTTCGAAATGGGTAAACAATCCATTTAGTAAATCTATATATAAATTTAGCTTGTCTGTCTGTTTGTTTGTATCCAATAAACGTCAAAACGGCTGAACCGATCGGGCCCAAATTTTTTGTGGAATATCACGTGATCACAGGGAAGGTTTATGAATGATAAAAACTTTTAAAAAATGTGTTTTAAGGTTTTTAATTTTGTAAAAAAAATTAAATTCTTGAAAATCCGCAAAAAAATTTTCTTCTTTGTTTTAAAATGTAAACAAAAAGAACATGTTCACAATTTAAATAGAAAGCCTAGTAATCATTATTTTAAAAGTAGAAAATTTGGCAAAAAAAACCATATTGCTTCAGAACTATTTCCATATAAAAAAAAATGGATTATAATTCATTAATGATCACATATCATTCACAGTGAGAAAAATGTACCGGTGCAGGGTCATCTTTAAGTAGAAATGGGCATTGTTTCTGTGAACGAGCGATCTTGAAAGTACTGAAGGAGCAAACATTTTTCAAACAATAGAGTTTTCACTAAACGAACGACTTTTTCGAACAAATTTTTTTTAAACTATGTTTTATTGCTGAAAAATTTCAAATTCAATTTCATTTTTACTAAAGTATCGTTCAGAAAAAAATGAACGAAATAGCTGAAAAATTAACAACAATTTTGAGAACGAACGAAATAAAATTTTTTGAACGATTGAAAAAAACGAATAAAATGGGTTGTTCACGAACTATGAACGAACACAATGAAAAAACCGAACGCGCACATCTCTATATTTGAGTATTAAACGGAATTGTGATCCTGATTCCAAAAATTGTGGAATTATCGAGCATTTTCTAGATACGCGAACAGTTCCTTTAAAAGGATACACAACGTTACTCTAAAAAATAATCAAGAAGAAATGAGATATCCTTTTTTATTGAAAATCGATCAGGTTCAGTTGTGGTTTCACTTTAAAGTTAGCTGGTTTCTGACATAGACACATGGATGAAATTATCAGAATTAAACATGTTTCGAAAAATGACGATATCTTCCAAGTTATTGATCCGATAGAAGATTAAAGGGTACCACTGTGAATTGGGCCCCTCTTTTTAGGAAAAAATGAATCACCTAATTCTCACTCTTTGGATATCTGAGATTACAGGTCGATCCGGTACAGCAGGGGTAGGGTCTAAACAATCAATCAAATCAATCAAATCAACCAAATCAATCAAATCAAACAAATCAAACAAATCAATCAAATCAATCAAATCAACCAAATTAATCAAATCAATCAAATCAACCAAATCAATCAAATTAATCAAATCAATCAAATCAATCAAATCAATCAAATCAATCAAATCAATCAAATCAATCAAATCAACCAAATCAACCAAATCAATCAAATCAACCAAATCAATCAAATCAACCAAATCAATCAAATCAACCAAATCAATCAAATATACCTAGTACAAGATCCTGAGCCGGAGTAACTTTCTTAAGTCCGAAAGCTTGATCAACAATAGTTTCTACATCAATATCATCATCAGAAAACTCTTCTTCTGAAATTCATCAAACTTTTAAAATTAAAAAAGCAAAATTACGAATCAACAACTCTAAGTTTTCAATTTCTGATTCCTGCTTTGTCGAAAAGCTTGTTATATTTAGAAATGTCGTATCACGACAAGTGCACAAGATTACGCAGAACATTTTTTTTTGGCACGACGTGTATAAAATACTTTTTGGACTTAATTTTTTTCAGTATCTCAAAGGTTCTCGATAAATAAAAACATTATGGTACAAAAACTTTAAAATACTGCAATCCAAAATGATAGTATCATCAATAGCCCCAAAAAAATCCGAGAAACATTAAAGATTTAGATCACGATGCTGACTTACGGTATTGCATTCCTATAATGAAACTAACCATGAGGTGAGCAATGTTAATAAAGACCAAGCTTTCATAAGTATAGTTAATCTCCGTCCCCATACCTGTCTCCTTATATTGAGGTCTGTAGGGTTTCCTGATTTTAACCCTGAGAGGTCTCATCTTTATCTTCATCTCCTCCTTCTTTCTTAATCTCTGAAATATTTTATTTCTTGAAAATCAAGGATCATTAAAGGGACTGTAAGCGTTATGTCAATTGAAACTCCATGCAAAAATTGGAATGTCTGATCAGATATCAATGTTTATTGATAATTTCTTTAAAAAAGTGACAATTGCGCATTTCTAATGCAGGAAAACTTACAGGAATTATCAGAATTAAACACTTTTAAAACTATAGAAAAACAATAAAAACCTGCACAGTATTGATAACAGATGCAGATAAAGGTTTAAAGGATACAAAAGTTAATTGGATGTTTGCTGATTTTAATAAGGCTTAGTTAGCTCTAAAATCGCCTACCATGCATATTTAATATTTACCCGTTTCTAAACTCTATAAATCACAAGTAAAAAATGACGATATGAATTTCAAAAGATGCGTCTGACGCCACTGAACACTGTTTTTGTTTTTTATTCGAAATATCATAAATATATATATTGCATATATATATATTTTGATTTTATAGATTTATATCTATGCAATATATATATATTTTTTGGCCATATATATGTATATATATATATATTTATGCAATATATATATATATATTTTGGCTTAAACTTTAAACCTCAATATCTCTATTTTAATCAATATATATTCAAGACTTAACGTTTAATTTTCTATTACCTGTTTTCTAATAGTTTGAAATAACAGGAAGTCTAAAATATTTTTAAACCATGAAATAATGTGTCTTTTACAAAGATAAACCCTAAAATCATAAAAAATCTAAATATTGTACATTACGTTCAGAATTCTGCAGGAAATATTTCGTTTAAATTTACTAAAGAAACAAATGGTGCTAACATCTGACAACTCATATAGTTATTTATGTAAAATCTAACCTCGTTAAAGTGTAAGGATAATTTTAAGTGACCCCCATACAAAGATGGCAATGCATTGTCTGCTCAAGTATGAGTTAGAGATCAACTGTTTATTTTCATTTGCGATTTCTCTGCAAAAGGGACTTGCTTACAAGAGACCATGGAGAAAATAACAGAAATATATTTTTTCAAGTCAGGTTTAGATTAGACCTGCTGAATATCTCCAGGTTCAGATTAGACTTGCTGAATAGGAAGTGAAATTGAAGACATATCTTGTTCTTCTCCCGTCCCATCCTTAGATTCAATATATTTTATTCTCCTCTCTTTTCATACATTCATTCTAATAATCTGAAATTAAAAAACTTTTATCAAAATTAACAGAAATTATCAAAAAAGCAAAAAAATTAAGNAACTCAATAAGAAAGAGTTTAACTCTATAGAAATGAGTTTAACCTGGTTAGCGGTATTAACCAGCTCCGGAACAGTAAGTTCCTCTGTAACTAATCTCATTAGTTCCACTCCAGATATTCCATTCTAGGAGAAACAAGCATAATGCAAATATATCACAAGATCCGGGTAATTAAAATTAAAAAGTAGAAATAGAATGAAAAGAAAGAAAAAATAATAATCAAAAATCAAAAAAATATTAAGTACTAGAAAAAAGATTGTTTACAAAATATCTCTTATATATATTTGATATCTATATATCAATCAATCTATCTATCTATCTATCTATCTATCTATCTATCTATTTATCTATCTATATATCTATCTATCTATCTGTGTCTCTCTATATATCTATCTATTTAAATTTCTATACCTGTAGGGACATTATATTTTCCATTGTTAACTCTTCCTCAATCTAAAAAAAAAATAATAAATATTTAATAAAGTAATATCAAACGTTTTTAATGAATTAATAAAACTCAATTATTTTTAATCATACAAATATAATTTATTTTCATAATTCATAAAGAAATATTTTACCACTCAGATTTTCTAATTTCTCTGTCTTTGCAACCCAATGTCGTAGACCTTAGTTATTTCAAATTATGAATTCTGTTAGATTAAATAATCTAAGTTGAAATATCAAAGATTTACATCATCAGGTTTCAAAGATATAGGGATTAGAAAATTGAGTGTTTGACAAAGACTCAATTCCTTTAAAGTAAACCTGATTTTTTGTATTTGCTATTTCATGATTCTCTGTATTTTAATCA